AGGACAGACGGGGGGGGGGGCGGGAAACAGCTGAGACGCGTCCCCCTGCCTCCACCATCCCCCCCAGGCCTGGCCACGTGACGCAAAGCATGCTGGGAAAGGCCCTTCTGCTGCCCAGTCCGAGCGATTCCAGGCTCCCCATTGGTCAGAACTTGGGCCACGGCACCAGGCACAGCCACCATTGGCCAGCTCAGTCCTGGTCTCCTCCAATTGGTGCAATCGTCCAGTCTGTTCCCATTGGTCCTGATTTCAGACAGACCGTGGAATTCGAAGCACAGCTGCCGCCATTGGTCAATTCAGTCCCAGGTCTCCTGTGATTGGTGCACATTGCAGCAGAGTCGGTTGGGTAAGTGGCCAGGTTTCCAAGCCAGGCCGCATGCCATTGGTGGGAATTCCCCACCTCAGCCCCATTGGTGGACCTTTACAGCAGGTCTCCTCCTATTGGCGCAAAGTCTGAACAAGTCTTTTCCTGTTGGCTGGCCACAGCATGCACTGATTGGCCCATGCCGGGATGAGTCCACCTCCAACTGACCAGTCTTTCAACTAGCCTCCTCTGATTGGCCAGAATTCTGAGTGAGCCTCCTCCCATTGGTCAGGATTCAAAGCTGCTTGCCTCCCATTGGTGTCAGTTCCGGGAGCGTCTCTAGTTCAGAAGAGCCCTGCTCTGATTGGAGGCCCTGCCGGCATCACACCTTGAAGAACCAATCCAGCTCTCCATTGGCTGCCCTGCCCTCAAGCCCCGCCCAGGGGCGGGGCCAAGACAGCTTCACACCTTGAAACACCAAGATGCTCTTCCCATTGGTGTCCTCAGCACTTGCCCCTCCTCCTGGGGCGGGGCCAACCGCTGGGCTGGCCCCCCCCCCTGGCGGCAGGCATGCGGGTGGGGCGGCTCAGTAGCGGGCGTTCTCCTCGGCGGCCGTCACGATGGCGTCCATCCAGATGCGCATGGCCTCGGCGCTGGGCGCCACCAGGCAGAAGAGCCGGTCGTAGGTCTTCACGCAGAACGTCAGCTTGGGGT